TTGGTCGTGGCACAGCAGTAGTTGACATACAGGTCAGATAAGCCAAGAACATCAGACAGCAGAGTCAAATCAGACCTGACAGCAGGTTGCAGCATCATTTCTAAGAAAAAGGCTCCAGTGGCTGTGAGGCTGTTTAAAATTACAGGTCGTATGAGATTAGAGACATTCAAATGAAAGGTAAAATTGTGTGGAAAAAAAGGAGATAAATCTAATTTACACATTTCAGAAAACTGACTTTTTTGAAAAGTTATTTCAGTCCGCATAGTTTATTCATGATTGGCAATGATGAACAATAGCCTTTTTTTTTAATGCCAGATATCAATATCCACAAAGAGTACAAAGTAACAGATAAAATAACACAACCAACCTGCAGCCAACTCTTGAATCCATTAGAGGATGGTTGGGACAGATCGTTAGTTCTTTGTATTTCAGACTGTAAAATTTTTTTAAAAAAAGAAGCTGTTCTTCACCAGTTGTTGTATGTGTGCGATACAAAGTGCAGACATGAAAGACAGGCTCCAGAAAAGAATTTATCTGAACTGCTATCTATAGAACCGAACCACCAATAACTCAGAAATGTCAGACCTGCCATCTTCACAAAATGCCACAAAGTGTATTTCTTTGATTTTAATGCTTAACTTGATGCATGGAAATTAATATTAGCAGGTACTAAAGAAATATAATAAACACTTTAAAAAAAAACAAAAAAAAACAACAACAATCATGTAACCCAGCTGGTGTGCTTTTGGACTGGAGAACAATTCATGCTTTTGAGGCATATTACAGGTTTTTCCTAAAATCTATGAAAATATTTTCTTTTCACAGGGGTAGAGGCACATCCTGGCATAGGCTAGACTGCAAGCAGCCTGAGTACACTGTTGCTACCTCTAAATGAAAGAAACTAGTAACCCCACATATTTACTTCAGTTCAGAAATCCACTTGATGGCATCTGATTTACTCATATTTACAAAAAATAATGACCTGAGCTGATCTGAGCATTTCAGAAACTGCTGATCTGCTGGGATTTTTTTTACGCCCAAGCATCTGTAGTGTTTACAGGGAATGGTCTGAAAAGGAGCAAGCATCCAGTGAGCAACAGTTCTCTGGGTGAAAATGCCTTGTTGATGCCAGAGGTAAGAGGAAAATGGCTAGAGTGCTTCAAGCTGATAGTAAGGCAAGATTGATTCAAATGACCACCAGTTATAACCAAAGTACGCAATGCACAACAAGTCGAACCTTGAAGCAGATGGATAGCAGCAGCAGATGACTACATTAAGTGTCACTCCTGTCAGCTAAGAAGAGGAAACTTCTATTGTGGATAAGAGAAGATGACGTGTCTCACTTTTCATTATGACATTAGTATTGTAGGGTCAGAATTTAACATAAACAACATGAAAGCACGGATCCGTCCTCCTTTGTGGTGTGGTACATTTTTTTGGCACACTTTGGGTGCTTTAGTACTGAGCATTGTTTACAAGCCACAGCCTACCTTGGTATTATTGCTGACCACGTACCTCCCTTTATGACCCCAATGTGCCTGTCTTTTGATGACTGCTTCTAGCAGGATAATACCCCGTGTGACAAAGCTCTGATAATCTCAAAATGGCTTACTGAACATCAGAGTGTTTATGGTACTCAAATGGCCTTCACAGTCACCAGAACTCAGTCCACTATAGCACCTTTGGGATGTGGTGGAAGATTTGCATTATAGATATTTAGCAGCAAGTGTGCGATGCTATCATGTCAGTTTAGACCAAAATCCCCAAGGAATGTTACCAGGACCTTGTTGAATCCATGCTACAAAGAATTAAGACATTTCTGAAGGAAATAGAGTGTGGAGTCTGGTACCAGCAAGGTAATGACTGAAGTGGCTGGTGACATGGTTTTTCAGTCAGTTTCATATTTGATGAGAATTCTAGATAAATGTGATTTTGAAATAAGGGACATATAGCAGCAAGGGTTCACTGCAGAAAATGCAAAACCCAGTTACAAACAAAATATCCTGTGCATAATCTAAATTGTGTTGATGGTGTATTTTAAAGAGCATTAAAGGTCTAAAGGTAAAAGACAGAGATTAAAGGTCTAAAGGTAAAAGACAGAGATTAAAGGTAATTGTAAATGTATGGCTGTTGTAAATACTGGCATTAATTTATATGCAGTGCAGTGGCCACAATGTCAAAGTAAATCTAATTTCTGAGATTTAATTTAACATGGTTTTAATTACCGGGCTCTATTTACTGGAACTGGAAGTGGTCTTCTGATGGATGTTTATAAGGTTTTGAGGACTGAACATGTTGCCATCTCACATTATCAGTTCTGGGAGTAAAACATTGTATTACATGTGGTATTCATGCTAATTTTAGTGCAATAAAAATAAAATAAATAAAAAAAGAATGTCAAGCTATTGTGCAAAACAGATGAACACATCTGGAAGCTGTGCAAGTTAATGGGCTGTATTTTTAGATTTTGGGTACCTGCACGGAGGATACACATTATAAAGGACTCAATCATTTAATAGCTTAAACGGTCTTTACAGCAGGAAAAGTGTGTTTTGCTGAAAAGCAGTGTAATCTAAACTTGTAATTTGCATACACTAATGTAGCTGTGAAAGATTAGCGTGTAATTTTAGCCTGCAAACTGTGATATGTTTTTTTTCTAACCAGCAGAAAGATTGTGTAATTGTGTATTTTGTTCTACAACTGTCCTCTATCTAATATCCACATTGATTTTGCTCTCTTTGCAAATACTTATCCCCCCTGAAGGTGACATTTGTTCTGCTTTCTTCCGACACACGTAAAGGCCAACAGTTGAGGGAAAACAGATGGGAGATTCTGCTTGCAGTGCTGATGATCAGCATTGTTCTTCACTTTTATTCAAATATGTTGCAGCAAAGGGCCTCTCAGCTTCAGACGGCACTTAAAAACCCTCAAAACATAATGCCTCATTTTTGGCCCAATCAATAAGCTCAATATGGTATAACTTGAGGATGGATATTGCGGTGATTACACTTGGTCTACTTCCTTGGAGCCTTAAGAGCCTTAAGAGGATGGGCATTTATTGAATTGGGTCACCTTTCATATTGGGTGGCTATGCGTATTACTATGCTGTTACACATATTTAGTTGATTACACCATGTCCTACCTGTAAAGAGTAAGCCACTCTATTACCTTTACTTAAGAACGTGTTCTGATGAACTCAAATACTTAACTGTGTATTTTGAAAACCATATTTGAGAAATGGTTCACTGTTCCCATGATTTAAAACAGAAATAGACAAGAATTGGAATATTTTTATAACATTTGTCAAACCCAGTCTATCTAAAGTACCATTTCTCTGTCTGCCCACACACAGTAGGTTACATAAATGGATCCATTGCACATCCCACTCACTGTTTTAGTGGGCAGTCCAAAAGTGAAGGAATTAAAAATGTATGTATTCTCTAAATGACCTATGCTTCTCACTTTCTGCAAGAAACGTAACATTACTAGCAACCATTCTTCTGTAAACTCAGTACACGAGCTACCATTTTACATCGGTGATGAGTTCAGTGGCAGTTTAAGGTATGCTTGTTAATGTACTTATTTACTGACTTAATTTTGGGCAGCTGGTTTGCCGTTTGTGTTCTGCAGCACACTAATAATTTTTGATGCTTATTTTTTTTTTCTATTACATTACAATCACAACCTTTCCCTTATTTCACCCAAGTGGTTTCAGCTGCATAACAAGAAGTATAATTTAGCTGCCAGATGACAATATAGTATATACCCAGCAGCTGAAAGACACGTAGTCAGCATATTGAATATTTAGAAACAGCGGGAACAGAGACATTTAAATAACTTATTTTCATCTTAGGTTAAGACAATATGTTACAGCTACACAGATGGAATCACATGGTGGAAACTTGAGCAAAACCCATCATCCTGATTCTCAGCTACCAACAAAAGCTCAAAGCCCTAACGCCTCAATTGCAAATGACTTGATTTATTTATTTATCCATGTTAATCCATATAATGTTACACAATTATGTATCATTGTCATAAACTTACACTCTGGCCATTTTATTAGGCATAACTCTTAACACAAGATGTCTAATCAGAAAATGCATCAACTCAGTGTATTTATGCATGCAGACATGGTCAGGACAAACTGCTAAAGGTCAAACTGAGCGGCAGAATTGGGGAAGAAAGGCGATGAGAGTGATTTTTACTGGTGTGAATGTTGGTGTCAGATGGACTGGTCTGGGTACTTTCCCACTAAACCATCTCTAGGGTTTGCAGAGAATGGCCCTATTAAGATAAGTTATAGCTTGCTGATGCCAGAGATCAGAGGAGAATGATGTAAATGCTTCAAGCTCATAGGAAGACAAAACAAATTAAATAAACACTAGTTCCAACAACACATTGACCCCTTGATGCAGATGGGCTACAGGAGCAGAAGACCACACCAAATACCACTCCTGTAAGATAAGAACAGGAAACTAAGTCTACAATTCACACTGACTCATCAACACTGGATAATCTAAGGAGCTTGGAAAGAAAAGCATCTGGACTTCTTTGAGTTGCTTGAAGACGTTTCACCTCTCATCCGAGAAGCTTCTTCAGTTTTAAGGGTCAAATGGTGGAGTCCCAGATTTAAACCCAGTGGGAGTTTCCCCCCAAAGAGGGACAAAGGACCCCCTGATGATCCTCTACCTAATCACATGAGCCAAGGTGTGAAAGCAGGTGTGGTCACAATCAGCCAGGGTTTCGGGTGAGCTCATTGTGAAACCTGTCCCCACCCTATCAAGTGATTTCCTGAGGTCAGATGGCCCAGGATGTGAGTGGGCGTTAAGGCGTCTGGGAAACTCCCACTGGGGGGAAACTCCCACTGGGTTTAAATCTGGGACTCTCCACCATTTGACCCTTAGAACTGAAGAAGCTTCTCGGATGAGAGGTGAAACGTCTTCAAGCAACTCAAAGAAGTCCAGACGCTTTTCTTTCCAAGCTTCTTAGACTACGATGACCTGGATGACTGAGAACCTTCACAGACAACACTGGACAATAGAAGATAAAGAAAAAAAAGTTGCTTGGTCTGATGACTCCTGATTTCCAATGAGTGTCGAAGCTGTGATGTTCAGATTGTGGGGACAGAATTTGACATGCAACTCCGTCATGCTATTGTTCAGTATGGACAATCAATATGGGGCTATGTCATAAAGAATTAAGGAAGTTCTGAAGACAAAATGGCGTCCCACCCAGTGCGAACAAGATGTACTTAATAAAGAGGGTTACTTAGTCCATGTTACTTAAAAATACTGAATTGAACTAGAGATTTTGGCCCCATTTTTATCCCCATTAACCCACCATAAATCTTTAGTTTCCAGTTTTACTTTTAACAGCATTTTTGAAAAATATGGTTCAATTCATGTTTACAATATGTCACAAATGATTAGACTGCCACTGTCACTGGTCAGTTTATATAACCACATAAAAAACTTTAGCGCTAAAGAGTCATGAAAAAACAACAAAGATACATGACATGCAAAATGGTGCCTTTATTGTCCAGTGTATGAAGTGACAACCATATTCAGCTTGCAGATTTATTGGTAGTAGTTAAGTAAAAAAAAAAAAAAAACCCCAAAAAAACAACAACGACACATACACTAATAGAAACCAGACCATGCACTTTAGACTCAGTAGTGACACTGCCTCCTCTTCAAGTATGTTCTCAACTCCTCTTCTTCTCACCTACCACATCCGACATTTTTTCTGGCTGTCTCTACTGTGTTTGTTCACTTAATAAGGAAGCTGTGAGACAGAGATAGATTAAAAGAAGTAGAGAAGGAAAGAGGGTAGAAACAAACAAGGAGAAGGAAAAATAAGAGATATAAATAAAGTATTTCTTTGTCTAACCTTGTGTTACATTAAAAACATTTTCGTGAAACACAAAGCTAAAAGGAAAAAAGAAAAACACATTTGGAGTATAAACCGTTTCTGGAAGCATGTAAACTAGAAACATTTCTGAAACGGATTTGCAATTATGAAACAGAAATCTAACTGATGAATAGTTGAATTAGCCCTAAAAATTTCTGTATGCCACTCAAACATAACATGCACTTAAGAATAAAAACAAAGCCACAATCAGACTTAAGTAATAGGAATTTAAAACTGTACTACCGTATTTTTCATACATAAAGGCACAGCGGATTATAAGGCACATTAAGTGAAACAAAACAGTCAGATAAGTCAAACTTTACTCAACTCATTCTTCTTGCTTCCTCCACTTCTGTACTATTGATTCATTAATGGTGAATTCTCTCGCAGCTGCTCTATTCCCATGTTGTTGCAGTATATTAATGACTAACCTCGTATTGTGGATGGATTATCTCAGTTGTTCTCCTGACTGAAGTTTGGTCCGTTTACAGCATCCTACCATGCGATTGCATTTGTCCCTAACCATCGGGAACCCTCCCGTTAAATTTTATCGAGTGGAAAAAAATTAGCGTTCATCCTCCAGCTTCACTGTGTTTATGTTATGCTAACATAGCTGTGTCACTGTGTCATTATATACCAGGTAGACCCAACTTCAGTAACCCCTAAAACGTCACTGCTGTTTAGTTTTCGGTCTTCATTTATGTTGGAAGTGATAGCAGAGCTGTACGTTTTAATTTTTTCAGAAATCTCTCAGTCAGAACATGCTATATCATGTTTAGGTGGAAACTAGTGAGCTAACTTCCTGCTAACTTGTAACTCCATTAAATTTAATAAATTCTGTTTTCATGGATGCCTGGATGTTAAACTTAATTGCTACACCTGGTAGAGCAGCAACGCTGATCATTTTATTAAACATGAAAGAATTTAGACAGTTTTTAACTCTCAGTGATGCCGCAGTGTTCTTTTGACTTTGGGACCTGAAGCGGCTGGAGTTTTGGACCCAGATTACTCCGCGAGGCTCCTGACTACGGCAGCCGTAATGCTCCGACAACCCATCAAGTGGTGCGGCTTCGTAGCTTACCAAAGTCGTGCTAAAACATTTTTTGACAGATTTGTGAGTGCCGTGTGCCACATAAAATCGCTTCGAGGTCAGTAAGCACGACCAGAATTCATACATAAGGCGCATCGTCAATTTTTGAGAAAATTAAAAGATTTTAAATGCGCCTTATAGTGCAGAAAATACAGTATATGCAGCACTGTATGCAAAAATTGCCATAAATAATGCCACTTTAGAGACTTTCTTCATAAAAGTTTCTATCCTTGTAAAATGTTTAATTTTTATGACATTTTTATATTTTAAATATAAAATAATAACTAATCAGTATATGACAAGTCCCGATACATCCATCCATATTTTAGCAACTTAAAAATGGACCCTCAGCTCGGCATTTTCAGATTGTATTTTAAGTCAAGACCTTGCTACAGTCTTACAAACCACATCACATATATTTCCAGCGTATGTAAAATATTAGAAATAAGTTATTGAGTAACCAGTGGAGTCCAAGTGCATTTCAAAAAAAAGAAAATGTGCAATTCCTTTAAACCCAACATTCAACTAGTACAAAGAAAACCCAACATTGAAAGTGAGAATCTTTAATAATACATGCTAATTCTGATGTATTTCACAATAACAAATAAAACCCTAACAATGAAAACACTCACAGAGGCATAATAATATTTTTTTAAATTCGGTGATTGAGGCACTTAATAGCAATGAAAGGTTCATCGAATTGGAGGAATCTCAGTATGCAAACGATAGTGCCACAAACCTAATATTGAATGACGGCACCTTAGACATGACTATATTAGAAACAGCTCTGTAGTAGAAATAACTAAATGGGCTCAGGAAAACCATTTCAGTGAATACCATTCATTGTTACATCCATAAATCCAAGGTAAAACTACCAAACCACTCTATCAAATATAAGCAAGATCAGGCAATGTTGCTATCCCCTGTGCATTTAAGATGGGATGGAATGAAATGGAAACTGTTTTTATGGTCTAAATTGAAACAAAACTTGAAATTCCTTTTGGAAATCATGGTCTCAGCAGACCTATAAAGAAAAGGTTTATCACTTTCATACCACAATAAAGTCTCAAGACAATCGTTATTATATTTGAACTCAATCCACCGAACTAGAAGACTACAATTTGTGTCTTTTTAAAGGAAGAGTTCATAGAAGGGTTAAAGCTTCTATTATTGTAAAGTATCTGCCTTGATGAAGACCCCTTGACATCCTGTTCAAAGGTGAGTTTCAAGAGTTTCAACAGCTAGGGGGTTTGGCTGCTGTAATGTTTTAAAGCTGCTCACGGACGGACAAACTGAACCCAGACTCTGAAGAGTTGTGGGATATTTTCCATTAAGCCTTAAATCTATTATTATGGTGACCTTTAGCACACAATGGAATCAAATTGCTGTTGGTTGACTAAAAAATGGGTTTTAATGTAAAAGCGTGTTCACTACATAAGACCCTTTGGAGAAAAAAAACCATGAGGGATCTATGACTTTAACTATTTAATTGAGGAACCTTTTGTGTTATACTTTATATTGAATATACTGCCTCTATGACTGATTCTTTGGCTCTGTGTCTTGTATATTTTGGAGAGAGTATTTTTGATTGAATAGCTTTCTTTAAATCAAGGCAGTAATTTGAACCGATGGATCTGTTTTGGCTCTGATTTTTGCATTGTGAAAGCAATAACTTTGCAGTGATTTTATGTCAGCTTCAGTGATTTTCAGATTCATTGTTTGCTTGTATATTGCACTTGAATAATTGTTGAGCTGTGGTGGAAGCATCTTTACAGTGGTGTGTGGTTGCTATAGTTACCTGTAGGGGTATCCATGGTACTTGGACCTGAAGATGGAGAGCAGGAAACTAAAGAAAAACACCACCAGGCCAAGGCCAACCAGGCAGATGACTGCAAGAAGACAAAGACAGACTGTTGTTTTACTGTGCATTACTGGTTAGAAGTCTTGTGCTATAATATCATTAACAATATTTCATTACACAACGACCTCTAGATTTTAAGTTACTACAAGCACATTTTATTCTTACACATTTTCAAATTCATGACACCCTAATATGTTCTTTTATAATAACTTGAAAAAGGCCTGCGATTATTGTTTTTCTTCTTGTTTAAAGGCATTCATTTCAAGCATTCCATGCCCAATATAACCACAGAGGCAACTGTTTCTCTGATCCATTTTCAAATTGAATATGCTTACAGGATTTAGACATAGCACACACTAAAAGCATCCTGCATCTGCATGTTGGTAGTTTACATGTATAAACACAAATTTATAAGCGGCTAAACACAAAAACATACAACTCACTGGTAACATAACATGATAATAGAATATTACTAGAAAGGGCATATAAAACACAAACTGACTTGACATTATGAAAAAAGTCTCCTTTAGCCTTTTTTCTTTAAAAATAATCCCTTAAAGTATGTGCTACTGTCTCTTTGTCGTGATAAACCCTGCTGGGTTACAGAAAATTATCTTTGAAGCCATTATCATCATATTTCCTCATTGGCTATTCTAAAGTGAAATATACATAAGCATGACCTTTTATCTGCCGAGGAATTATCACTGTATGTGCAAGTGTATGAGTGTATGCACACCCCTGTGCAGTGGCTAATCCCTAAGAAGTACTGTGTTAAATTAAAACTGTCACCACCGACTGATATTGTTAATCAGGGATTAGGATGAGTACCTCTCCTGGAGACTAAATAGTGAGATATGTTCTTGTCCTTACATGGGACACACACAGACGCGCACGGGGTGTGCGTGTGTGTGTGTGTGCCTAAATTAGAATTAGAGTGTTAGAGAACAAGAGGGTGAGTGTGGATGCACGAGAAAGTTGACATCAAAACATTTGGCTGGTAAAATATAAGATGTACTGTATAAGACTACATTTGCTGTTGTGATATTTAAGAGAGCAAGTGATATTACACCCCAAATTCCCCCAAATCTGGGGTGCTGTGTAATAAAAAAAAGAATGCAATTATTTGCAAATCTTATAAACCCATATTTTTTCACCCATATTTTTTCACAGAACATAGAAAACCTATCAAATGGTTAAATTGAGACAATTTATTATAACAAAAATTTGAGCTCATGTTGAATTTTATGGCAGCAACATGTCTCAAAAAAGTTTGGACAGGGCAACAAAAGGCTAGAAAGGTAAATGGCACAAAAAAGAAACATCTGGAGGAACATTTTCCAGCTAAATAGGTTAACTGGCAACAGGTCAACAACATAATTGGCTATATAAAAAGTGTGTCTTAGAGAGTTTCTCATAAGTAAAGATGGGCAGCATTTCATCAATCTGGAAAAAAATTGCATCTACAAATTGTGCAACAATTTCAGAATATTGTTCCTCAACGTAAAATTATCATCTATGGCAAATAATGTTATCGAACAGCTCTGAAAATATGCAGAAATCTCTGTGTGCAAGGGACATTGCCTGCAAACCTCTCACTCTCTGGTGGCGCTGCATTAGAAAAGCTATGATTCTGTCACAGAAATCTCTGCATGGGCGCAGAAACATCTATTGTAAATAGGTTTACACTACCCTGTTTTTACATTACTCTGGTCATTTTGTTTATTCTACTTGCATTACTCTGTCAATATATTGCTATGCTAATATGGCACAAAACACTTTAACATTCCATTTGCACAAAGTACATTTTCAGTTATTTAATTTAAAATTTCAGATTTTTAATTTAAACATTACTTTACTTAATGTTTCTGTTTTGCACAGTCAAGGAGCCATTCAGGACACACCACTCTTATGACTATGCATAAGACAAATAAAGAATCTTGTATCTTGAACATCTCCATTGCCTGTGATGTCTCCATGATATCCACAAATGCAGGTTAACACAACATGCTGCCGTGCTCTCCAGGGCAAAGCTCATTTAAATGAATGGAGACAAAGTGGGAAACTGTTCTGTGGTTACATGAATCAAAAATTTGAAATTCATTTTGGAAAACATGGACCGAGCATACTGTGGATTAAAGAGGAGATGGACTATGCACCTTGTTATTAGCACATTGTTTGAATCTCTGATTCTGAGGGGGTGGATAAGTGCCTATGGAATCAGCAGCTTGCACATCTGGAAATGCATCACAAATGCTGAGCACATACTGTATGTTGCTTTAAAACTTGTACGTTTCCATGCATCAAAATTATGTTAAACTCATTACAGCATGTATCACAGCTGAACTGCTGAACTGACCTACCTGCAGTCTGGACCTTTTACCAGTTGAAAATCTTTGGTGTATTATGAGCCCCCCACCAAAAAAAAAAAAAAAAATTAAGAAAAAGGTGGCACAACATTCATTTCCTACAATTCCAGCAATTGGTCTCCTCACTTCCCGGATGGCCTGTAGGCCATTGTTAAAGGTGAGGGGATGTTATGCAGTGGTAAACATGGCCCTGTCCCACCTTTTTGGAGATTTGTTGCTGCTATCAAATTCAAAATGACTAAATTTTAAAATTTAAGCCTTCAGATTTGACATTTTCCATTGTGAATAAAATATTGGTTGAGATTTCCAAATCAGTGCATTCTCTTTTTATTTACGTGTTATAAAGCGTCCCAACTTTTTTCAAACTGAGAATGCATACTGACGACCTAGTGCATTGACCACACGGTACAAATCCCATGCTCACAGCACTGAAGACAGGGGGCATCTGTCACAATGGTAAATGTAAGGTATTTAAAGGTAAACAGTTTTTTAACCTTAGTTTAAAAAACACGACAGTGTGTTTCTCATTCACCTATACACACACACACACACACACACACACACACACAGCAGCAACTTGGGATTCACTGTTTTCCCCTAGAGTAAGGGGAGAGGCTAGGGACTGAGCTGCTAAGACTGTGAGTGGTGGAGAATCCCCTCTACCTTATGTTCCTTTTGAGGTCAAATAAGGAATATACTGATGCCCAATTGATGAAAATATTCAAGTACTATATTATAGAAATGTGCTACCAAATGACTTAATTGAAAATAATGTATATTTTACAGCGTCTGCACAGAAAGTGCATGTGTCCTTGCTCTTCCAGGGTTGCAACTTCCACATATACAGTGGGAACATCAGAACGTCTGTGTATCTTCATTAAGTAGAAAGGGATGCATTTCCCTTACCTCATCAATTATGACTGAGAGATCTTAGTATGCATCCACGGATAATGATACACACACGGGGCATGCAAGTATGCCAAGTGATTTATGACCTTGGCGAAATGACAAGTTGTTTAAACTGAATGATTTCCCTCAGCGACAAAGGTGGTAATCCCTCTTTTGACTGTATGACTTGGCTCAATTCAAATTACAATATATTGGCATGGTAAAAATAAATTTACATTTCACAAGCAAGAGGAAGTCAATAAACATATTAAGTTAAGCCTATTTAATTAGGAGGAGAAAATGAATAGACTGTAAAGCTAAATGATTCCTCATGTCTTCGGCAGCCAATTGCTAATCAAAGAATAAACTGTGAAGTGACTCCATCAGAAGATACAATCACACACAAGTCATTGACTTTACAACAAACCAAGGCAGATAGAATAAAAGCCTGTTTCCCCACCTATTACAAAAATATAATTTTTCACAGTGATTTCTTTTTGTTCACTAATATATTCTTTACTGGGGTAGGCTGGTGACAAACATCTTGGCTGGGCCAAACCAAATAATGAGAAAAGCTTCTTTATCTATATTACATGTGGATAATTCCAAGTCTGACTTAATAAGAGTGACAGCAGGGTGTTGTAAAGAGACAAATGGGAGAGAGACAGAACCACTTCATTCTTCAGACACATGCTACATACACCTATTTGTATTTTTAAGGAGAAGCATTGATGCTGCAGCAGTGTAATGGCCCCAAACAGACCTCGAACAAGCTGAAAACCGAAGAAGAGTCAAATAAATATTTGTCTTTTGGGAACAGCTGAAGTCAAGACAAAGCTAATTAACTATTTAAGCTCAAGAAACTACGAAACACTGCAGTACTGACTGGATAAGATACATGATCAGGTTTTGCACAAACTCTTTGCTGTCATTAGACCAAAACAGTGTTGCCCCAATTTGATAGCATATTATTTTTATATGGCAGATGATCTTCTTTGGTGACCCCTAAAGGTAAAAGACAAAGGAAAATCAACCCCCCCATAATTAACTTACATTTGAAGAAGACAATATGGTCATTTTGGCGGTGTATACCTTTCATTCAAAGTTGGCATCACCCCATTTCCTGTACTGTGTTCCATTTTTTCCACCCCCTCCTTGAATAAATCCCAATCTATTAAAAATGACTTTGATATACACGTGTTTTTCTGTAAATTGCATAGAAAATTTCTGTAAGCACTAAAATTCTTGTGTTTCATTATAATGTAATCCTCACAGTGTGGTTCCTTTAATTTATGTAAATTAGTAGGTAGTATTTCTACAAAAGAGGCTGAATTGAAGTAGTCAATATACTAAAAATACTGCTGGAAATTACGGAGTCCTCTGCAGTGTGCACATAATATGTCGTCATTTTACAGGTGATAATTAAGTGTGCCACCTACGCATGTGTGCGTCTCTATGTATGTAGAGTGGTATGTGTTTGTGTGATATTGGAAAAACAAGTCTTGATGTTGTTAAAAAAAATCTTATATTTTTAAATGTCAAGCTTTAACATCTGAAGAAGTACTCAGGGTTGATACTCTTTCCCTTAGATATTTAGAGTGATCATTTAATATGGGACCCCACAGAGACAAGTGAAACACTTTTTTGAGTTGGTTTTTCATCACATTAACTCTAATTAAATCCCCTAGTGTGTAACCGTGTCTATGTGTTTGAGGTAATTACCAGAGAGGTCATCTAATATCCATCCCCCGCCATAATCTACAAATTATCCTCA